TTTTTTTTTTTTTTTTTTTTTTTTTTTTTTTTTTTTTTTTTTTTTTTTTTTTTTTTTTTTTTCCCCTCTGGGCTAAAAAGTTAAGGGCATGCGCTGGCCAGGCAGCCAGGAGGGAACCCACCAGGAAAAACCAGTCGGGTCAAAAAAGAGGCAAGGATAAAATCATAAGAATGAAAGAAATCTGACCTCAGCCCTGGAACGCTCTTGGGTTGAGCAGTCGGAATCCGGCCTTATCTTCCAATTTGGTGATGGGCCACCCAAGGGGGGTAAAAAGGGGTTCAAACTTCAAAGGGGTACACATCTTAAGCTGCCAGTACACAGCCCCAGCCTTGCTGAAAAGAAAACTTGTCGCCTACGAAATTTTCGGAGGCCCAGCGCCGTAGATAAATCCAATCGGCGGAGGGTGGCCTCCGAAAAGGGCCCACTGCCGATAGCTGGATGTACTGGTGATTCAAGTCTCATTTTTCTAGTTTACGTTTAGAAATACACACCAGCCAGCACTGGACTACCACACCAGGACAACTTTACCTGATTACATGCAGGCATCTTGAAATTCTGCAAAAAAGCGCACCCATTCCACAACAGCATCAAATTTAATGGCAGTGGGTTCAAAGTTCAAAGCCCTCTCAACTTCATCCAGCGACATGTAGGCTTCTTCAGTCTGTACATTATCAGCCACAGGACCTCCTCCGTGCAAGCACGGATTCGAGCCGGCGATTCCCCAAACAACTGCACCCATTTCAACAATCGCACCGCATTTAATGGCAGTAACTATCCCGTCCCTGTCTCGCACTCATTGTCCCCAAGACATAACTAGATTACTCCCCAGCACAAGTATCTCAAGGCGTACTCAAACTAGGACTTTTTCTACTAGGCTGTGGACGTGATCGGGGTCAGATTCATCCAGGTCGGGCTGGAATTGCAGTCAAATACATTTAGGAAAGCGCTAGTATATCTACATCCTCAGTCGAAGCAACTATGAAGTCGTCTCACAAACCACGTCTGTACCATATACTGTGTATGAACAAAAGGTCACAACAGACGTGGTCTAGAAACCTTCTTCCTCGGCGTTCCACCAAGAGATGTCAACATCTCCAGATATGGGCCCTCGCTCCACCACACAACAATGTACATGCATCTGGACGCTTGAGGGACCAGGTGCATTCAGGCGATTCCAACGTTGTGAACATATTCGGGCAAGAAAGCGTCCAAATGCATGTACAGTGTTGTGTAGTGGAGCGAGGCTCATGGACATGTGAAGGGTTCTGCTGTCCAACCAGGCTATTGACAAGCCTGTCAGAGTTCCAGATGTCCCGATGTTACCCCTGTACTAGGCTGTGGATGTGATCGCGGTCAGATTCATCCTGCTCAGGTCGGGCTGGAATTGCAGTCAAATACATTTAGGAATTTGTCGCCGAAAGAAAACAGTACATAGTACATACACACATGTAAACATCAATAGACAGACAGCACTTCACTCCTGCTCAATACTACAACTTCAGCGGCCGCTTCCCTGAAAAGAACAAAAGCAGCAGTCTGCCTACTGGATCACATTTCCCGCCCTAGAAATACTTCCAGAAACGGACAATTACGACACAATCAACAAGATGCCTCAACTATCTTCCACTGCTGCAACTAGCTTCTTGGCCCAAGCACAACGCCCAGTCATTGTCGGTATCTGACATGAAAGTTGCACTCCGTACCTGACACGTACTGTCTGCAGTTATCCCTGTGCGGACGCTCAACACGACGAGAACGTGGAGTCAGCTCTACTATCCTCTTCGCTTCAAACACATCAACAGACAATGATACTCGAGAAACATATCCAGTTTACGTTGCTCCTCGGTTGCTCCCTTGCCCAAACAGTCTCCTCCACAGGTGCCCTGTACAACAAAACGGCAAGCCAACAAGTAAATACATAATTAATGCAGGTCCAGACAACAAACAAAACACAGAACAGGGCGCATGTGGCTGAACGGTACGAATGTGACCGATCAATGAGTCAATAGATTACCTGATGGGGCTTCGTCCGCAGAAACCAAATGGTGGAAAAAACACATAGCAACTCTGTCTGCTGTGTGTGTGTGTGTGTGTGTGTGTGTGTGTGTGTGTGTGTGTGTGTGTGTGTGTGTCGAGGCTTTTACGAAAGCCCCTTCCTGCTTGACTCATGCCGTTTCGACGGTTCACTCTGCCTTCTTTCCCCCTCTCTCCCACCCTCTTGCCCCCACTCTGAGCCTCACACATACTGCCACGTAGCGAACCTTCGATTGTCTGCTAGGCCACCAACGAAGCAGTGACAATGTAAAAAAGAAGATGATAATTGGATTGGAACCAACAAGAGGAAGAACGGCAAAAGATAAAGAGTAAAGATGGAAAGGAGTACAACGGAGGAAGAGGAAGAAGAACTCACGTCCATCTCTCTCTCTCTCTCTCTCTCTCTCTCTCTCTCTCTCTCTCTCTCTCTCTCTCTCT